GGAGGGCGTGGGCAGAGGCGGAGGGCGTGGCAGAGGAGCGGGCAAGGCGGAGGCGTGGGCAGAGGCGGAGGGCGTGGGCAGAGGCGGAGAGGCGGGCAGAGGCGGAGGGCTGGGCAGAGGCGGAGGCAGGGCGAGGCGGAGGGCGAGGGCAGAGGCAGGCGTGGCAGAGGCGGAGGGCGTGGGCAGAGGCGGAGGGGCGTGGGCAGAGGCGGAGGGCGTGGGCAGAGGCGGCAGAGGCGGAGGGCGTGCGGAGGCGCAGAGCGGAGGCGTGGGCAGAGAGGGCGGAGAGGCGGGGCAGAGGCGGAGGGCGAGGGCAGAGGGCGGAGGGCGGCAGAGCGGAGGCGGCAGAGGCGAGGGCGGGCAGAGGCGGAGGGCGTGGGCAGAGGCGGAGGGCGAGGGCAGGGCGGAGGCGGCAGAGGCGGAGGGCGTGGGCAGAGGCGGAGGCGGGCAGGCGAGGGCGGCAGAGCGGGGCAGGGCAGAGGCGGAGGGCGTGGGCAGAGGCGGAGGGTGGGCAGAGGCGGAGGGCGAGGGCAGAGCGGAGGGGGCAGGCGGAGGGCGGGCAGAGGCGGAGGCGGCAGAGGCGGAGGGCGGCGAGGCGGAGGGCAGGCAGAGGCGGAGGCGGGCGTGAGGCAGAGGCGGAGGCATGGGCAGAGGCGGAGGGCGTGAGGCAGAGGCGGAGGCGGAGGGCGAGGGCGGAGGCGGAGGCATGGGCAGAGGCGGAGGGCGAGGGCAGAGGCGGAGGGCATGGGCAGAGGCGGAGGGCGTGGGCAGAGGCGGAGGGCGTGGGCAGAGGCGGAGAGGCGAGGGCAGAGGCGGAGGGCGTGGGCAGAGGCGGAGAGGCGGAGGGCGAGGCGGAGAGCATGGGCAGAGGCGGAGGGCGTGGGCAGAGGCGGAGGGCATGGCAGAGGGCGGAGGGCGAGGGCAGAGGCGGAGGGCATGGGCAGAGGCGGAGGGCGAGGGCAGGCGGAGGGCATGGGCAGAGGCGGAGGCGTGGGAGAGGTGAGGCAGAGGCGAGGGCAGAGGCGGAGGGCATGGGCAGAGGCGGAGGGCGCAGGGCAGAGGCGGAGGGCATGGGCAGAGGCGGAGGGCGTGGGCAGGCGGAGGGCGAGGGCAGAGGCGGAGGGCGAGGGCAGAGGCGGCGGGGCGGAGGGCGAGGGGCAGAGGCGAGGGCAGGGCAGAGGCGGGCGTGGGCAGAGGTGGAGGGCGAGGGCAGAGACAGAGAGCGAGGGCAGAGGCGGAGGGCGAGGGCAGAGGCGGAGGGCGTGGGCAGCGCTCGAAAGTGTCACTGTGATTACCTGTGATTCCTCAGCGTTGTCTGAAATATATCATTGCACGAGAAAAGATCCTCTAGAGATAAGTTGAATTCTATGAACATTAATATATAATAACCATAGGTACATAGGTGCGTTCATTAGCATTTTAAAGTGAAATAGATGGCATCGCCCTAGGAAAGCTGATGTGAAGAAACTCACTATGGTACTAAAGTAATGTGCCCAGATAGATAGAGAAAGAACGCAAGACGGGAGAGAGAGAGACGGAAAAAGTAATTGCTGTCAATTAAAGCTATCCATTATTTGCTTTACTTTGCTTTTATCTAATCATAAATATGGTTATTTTTTTCTTATTCATACTTATTCTGACTTTTTAGTTTTCATTCAGTTAATTTCTTGCAGTTTGTTTATTTAATTATTCTGTCAGAGGACACGCCGTGATCAATATTTCATTCAAGACTGTTGAGTCCCTGAGGAGGGCCCGCTCGTCACTTCAGGTGGAAAAGACTGTCTGCACGCGAACAAAGTAGTTATTAAAGACCGAGAAGTATTTGATACCTAGTGAGCAACCAATGCTCATATAAGAAACATTGCGCAATCTATCTGTGTATTGAGAATTTTGTTTTTTGATGCGGAAATATCAAATAGAATGCCTAATGCACAATATGAGCCATGCACGGTGCATTAATTCATCAAACACAAAGACAAGATACAGTTTAGTCACCCTTCCGGCCCCTCATTCTCTCATATGTGTTGCTACTCGAAATCGACGTCAGAAATGTCTGCACTTCCATTAGTTGCGATGTAGCTTGTTTGACAAGGAACAGTATTCTAAATAGACGTGCATTTATATTTTTGTTCCCTGCTAATCAAGAATCCCGTAATTGTGACTTGGAGGGTCGGCCATTTTTTTCCTTATTTGGTCAGAAAGTAGGTTTGCGGTCACAGCCAGCTGAATGGCTGTTATCGCCCGCAGTCATGAATATAGAGCCAGCTGGCATTGCTGATTTGAGTTTTCTGAGCCCTTTGATGCGCACACCTTTAATCAGCGCCAGCGAGCTGCCGAAGAGGTGCGCTCCTAAAGGCCGTAGCACGTAACCCCGAGACGCAGTGCGTCGTGCACGCCATCTCCAGGCAGACAAACGTGCATCCATTCCTCCTGCGTGCTGTGCGCAACATATTCCCGTCTACACAATATGTGTAATGCACATAGATTTTTTTCTGCAAAC